TGAGTCAGTGATGCCATCCAACCATCTCATCCTCTGTCGTCCCTTTTCTCATCCACTTCTCCCACTTCCAAGCCAGGAAACAAACAAAAGAAAGCTAGGAAAACCATCAAACAACTAACATGAAATGTGTATTGCAATGTTTTTTAAGTGCTCTATGATAAAAGTTTGAATAAGAGCCACATTTTGGGCTTTGTATATCCGATCACACACAGAAAAGGTGTTTTCACTAGGCTGATGCCTTGGAGTCTGGCTTTCTGTCCTCTGTGATCCTTTCTTGACAAATGACTGACCATATTTAACCGATTCTAAGAAGCATATTTTCTTCACATTTTCATGTCTCTGAAATCAGAATGTGTCTTATAAACAGTGGCATTTTAAAATCCCTGTCAGCCAGGAGGCAGTTGAAAGGGAAATGTCACTGCCATCCATATTCAAACTTGGTTGTGGCTATTTTGGTATCATGATTTATGATAAAAATATATGTCCATATATGCCCAAAAAAAGCTCTTTTGGTAAGTATAAAATTAAAATTTTATGGCTATGAAACCATTACATCACAGTTTATTTGGAAGTATTTTTTCTTTCTTAGTGTTACATAAAAACATATTACATAAAAAAATCTCAAATATGATGAAACGCGTCTTATCTTCTGTAGAATGTAATATCTGCCACTGACAATTTCGAAGAGCTTGAAGAACTTCACGTATATCCACTGAGAAGCCATCCAAAGTTCATTCTGGGAAAATTTCCAGGTACTAAGAAAAGACTACTTTTTCAATATCTTTAGTGAATTCATCCATGAATTCTTTTCAGAAAGTATGTGAGCAGGGGTAGTTTGCAGGGAATCCATGCTCAGCTTCTCAACATCCATGCCTCTTCCTGCCTAAAATTGATCCATCCAAGAACAACTTTTTCCCACTTGCTTAAAATTAAGCATTATTTTGCAGCTATTCTCAACACTAATCACTTACATCTGTCATTAACTGAAAAGAAAAGCACCTCCTAATAGTGGCATATACTGTCCACACAGATTCTTTTACACATAATTGAAATGTTTTTTGTATTACAAAATGTTTACATTGGTAAAACATGTATAGAAATTGTATGTGATTTCTTTCAAATAAGGTACATTATTCAATTAAACTAGCTAAAACGTGTTTTCTCAGATTGTATCTTGAAATATCTTTCCCAATGAAAGTCAATCCTCATTTCATTTTATAATTACAGATTTTCTAGCACTTATTATCAAAAAATAAAATACAGTTGTTGCCAGGAGAGTTATTTTTTAGCTCTATATATTTTTCCTTTTTATAAAATATGGTTGAAAAGTTTAATCCTGTGGCCCAAAAAAATTAATGTCTTTAAAACTTTTTATACATTATTCTTAATTATTTCCAGAAACCCAAAATTGGGATATTTGTTTACCAAAAGAAACCATGCATGCCATTCAATTCCTTGTTTTATAATATATTAGCTACATATTACACTGTTTAATTTTAAATTACATATAAGAAACAAAATTATTATTTAATTTATTTTGAAATAAATAAGAATCTCATTTTAATCTTCTATTTACTTTGCTAGTAAAATATTTAACCAGAGGTGTCCCCAAGTTGGTTTCTTCATGGTTTAAATAATTCTCCTCAAAATGCATATTAATTTACATTCTCCATTTAAAATTTAAATTGGACACTTTATCTGAAGATAAAGCTGATTTGGCTGATTATTTTGATATGAACATTGCCTTTGCCAACTAAGTTATATTATAAATGTCTTCTATGAAATCAATAATCCAAATCAGTAGCCTCAAAGTTGCATATTTAGGGGAAATAATAAACTAAAGGGATTTTATCAAAATTATTATATTAACTAAGTGACACTTATCTAAGTATTTTGATTTTCCCAATCTTTGTAAGTCCACTGAATTAAAAACAATGTCTCCACTATGGAAAACAGTGTGGAGATTTCTTAAAAAGCTGGAAATAGAACTGCCATATGACCCAGCAAACCCACTTCTGGGCATACACACTGAGGAAACCAGATCTGAAAGAGACACGTGCACCCCAATGTTCATCAGGAGAGGGAGGTGGGAGTGGGGACCGGGATGGGGAATACATGTAAATCCATGGCTAATTCATTTCAATGTATGACAAAAACCACTGTAATGATGTCAAGTAATTAGCCTCCAACTAATAAAAATAAATGGAAAAAAAATTAAAAAATAAAAAAAATAAAATCAGATGAAAAAAAAAAAAAAACAATGTCTCAGAATGAAAGAATGATATATAATAGTCATTTGCTAAACCTTGGTAATAAGATTATTCTGGTAAATCTCCCAGAAATGCTAAAATTAATGATTCAGCAACAAACCCTTCTATAAATTGGGCTTCTTTTCTTTCAAACAATTAAAGATAGGCTCAGCCAAATTGTCTGATAAAAATTTAAAAAAATTAATTTGAAAAGTTTAAGTCAGCTTTTCCTTTTCCGGTAAGCAGCCTGAGCTGACTCCTAAAAATGGTGCGCTATTCACTCGACCCAAAAAACCCCACAAAATCATGCAAAGCAAGAGGTTCAAATCTTCGTGTTCACTTTAAGAACACTCGTGAAACTGCCCAGGCCATAAAGGGTATGCATATCCAAAAAGCCACCAAGAATCTGAAGGATGCCACTTTAAAGAAGCAGTGTGTGCCCTTCCGTCGTTACAATGGTGGAGTTGGTAGGTGTGCACAGCCAAACAGTGGGGCTGGACGCAGGGTCGGTGGCCCCAAAAGAGTGCTGAATTTTTACTACACATGCTCAAAAATGCAGAGAGTAATGCTGAGCTTAAGGGCTTAGATGTAGATTCTCTGGTCATTGAGCACATCCAAGTGAACAAAGCCCCCAAGATGCGGCTCAGGGCAGGACTTAGAGAGCTCATGGTCGGATCAGCCCCTACATGAGCTCCCCCTGCCACACTGAGATGATCCTTACTGAAAAAGAACAGATTGTTCCTAAACCAGCAGAGGAGGTTGCACAGAAGAAAAAGATATCCCAGAAGAAACTGAAGAAACAAAAACTTATGGCCCGGGAATAAATACCACAGAAAATAAATGCAAATAAAAGTAAAAAAAAAAAAAGTTTAAGTCATTTGACTTAAACTTTTTTTTTATGACTGGTCACCATGTGATTTTTGACCTGTGACTTGGACATTCATCCCGTTCCCTTCTCTTTATTCATGGGAATAAAATTTATACTGTACTCTGTCTCATTAGAAGTAAGAGTCATCCTCCATGAACTAATTTGGGGAAAAATAATCAAATTCACTTAAGAAAAGCATTGCCAACCAAATTCTAGTTTTCATTTTTTATTTTTCAAAACGTGTAATATTTTATACTCTTCTGATAAACTGTGTGCTACTAATAATTTAATAATAAAAGATTTAGTACGTAGAAGCTTAGCATTATAGGAAAATTTATTTCAACCTATATTTTTGCAGAGATGTATGGGTGACCAATAAAAGGTCTTTAAACATAAAAATAAGTTGCATTAGGATAAATTATGTGAGGGAAGTTGAATGGAATGGCAATTTCAAGGAAATAATAAAATCATGTAAAATTTCTAACCGTTCATGGTTTTTTCTTATTTGTTTGCTCTTAATTAACAATGATGAATGTCTAGTTAACATGATATTTTTAGCTCATTGGACGGATTAAGGTGAAAGTGAAAGTCACTCCTTCAACTCTTTGCGACCCCATGGTCTATACAGTCCATAGAGTTCTCCAGGCCAGAATACTGGAGTGGGTGGCCCTTCCCTTCTCCAATTAGCATGGTATTTTTAGCTCATTGAACAGATTAAAAATGGGGCTAAATCATTAAACCATTTATTAAAAGTATAAATATTTATAATATGCTGCGAATGATAACTGTACAAATAATTAAACTTATGATAAGAAATTTCAGATGCTAACTTCAAAGTGTTTGACAGGATAGACAGTTTCTCAAAATTATTTTAGGTAGCCTATAATTAGAAAGTTTGAAGACCACCACTGTAAAACATAGTCTCATTGAATCCCAGAGGAAAACTGAGTGAGAGAAAGAATTTTAGAAACAGAGACTTGTTTTTATTTTATGACTTTTAAATTTCTGAACAGTTCCCCCTTTATTGTCAGGGATTTGTTCCAAGACCCTCAGTGGATGCCTAAAACCGTGGATAGTACTCAACATTATATAGACTATGTTTTTTCCTATACATACACACCTATGATAAAGATTAATTTATAAATTAGGCACAGTAAGAGATTAATGATAATAATGAAAATATCTTATTGTACAGTATAATGCCTTTTCCATCATAACCAGGCACTTATCCATCACTGTGGCTGTAATTTTCACAGTTTGAGATGCAATAGCAAATCTGGCACCAATTTCTTTTTCCTTCTTCACAATTTCATGGGTAGAAGATGTGTTCTTACCGTAGATCTTGGCAACCTCAGCATACAATGTGGTTTTCTTTCTTTATTAACTCAAGAGCTTTTAACTTACAGGAGCACTTCATGGCTTCTCTTTGGTGTATCCGAATTGCCAGCATCACTACTCTTGTACTTTGAGGTCATTATTAAGCAAAATAAGGTGACTTGGACACAAGGCTGTGATATCTCAACGGTCGATCTGATACTAAGTGACTAATGAGTGGGATGTGCGGGACTAACGGATGCTTCACATCCTGGGTGGGACCGAGCAGGACGGCGCAATATTTCATCATGCTATTCAAAATGGCGTGCAATTTAAAACTTAAGAATTGTTTATTTCTAGAAATTTGTATTTAACATTTTCAGACCACAGTTGAGTGCAGGTAACTGAAACATTGGAAATCGAAACAATGGATAAGGGTGGGTACTATGGTATAGCAGAAACCACTATAACTTCATGTACACCAGCTTATTCACCAGGGCAGTTATACAACCTTGCAATGGTGAAATTTTAGGGAGTATTTCTAAGCAATCCACAAATACTGTACTTACTCAAAATGGTCACTAGGTGGCGAAAGAGGCCCTCTTCCCCGCTTCCACCAGCTCTCTCAATCTTCCCATCTCCTGCAAAAAGAAAAAGGATAGGATTAACATAGAACAGTGACAACGACACACAACAATAGCAAGAAATATTTGTTTTAGGTGTTTCCATTTCCAAAGGACAGTAATAAGTCCCTCTCATCTCTGAAAATTTCAGAAATAGCCTTGTCTGGGAAGGTCATTTATTCCTCATTAGTATCATTTACAAATATTGTTAACTAATACATCTCTCTGATATAACCAGGCACTTTAACTACAAAACTCAACCTTATTCAGCTAAGTACTTCAGCTCTAGAAAAACCAAAAAGCAGCAGCAGCAGTGGCCTCTGGAACATTCCAAGTACGAGGTTAAGCCCTTCATTGCATTGAATCTGCAAACAGCTCTAAGAGCTAGGTGTTAATATCACCCCCAGGACACAGGTGAGAAAATAGGAAAATGATTCCAAATCGTTGAGTCAGTAAGTGCCAGATATGGGATGCAAATGCAGGTTTGGTTTTCTTCATTTTCAAGTTCAATAGCCACACCCTTAAAAATCACACTCTGAGATATTTTGGGCTTGTGTGTGTGTAACTGTCTATGGGCCTTTCTATATTTGCCTATTCATATTTATATTTCTGTGCTTCTGTGTGATTTTATGTCCACAATTCTGTACAATGTGGAAGTGTGTATCTGTGTGCACACACACTAACACATGTGCAATCCAGAGCTTTCAGAGATATTTCTGGTAATTTCCACATCACTTTATATAGTTTAGCCAACAGAGGGAGCTCACTAATTTTCATTTTCTCTTGAAGAGGCTAAGAAAAAGATACACTAAAAGTCACATTCTTTTATATGTGGTTGAGTCTGTTTTCATATGTTTAAGTCTGAATGTGTCTCTACATCTATGCATGTGGAAGTCTGTATTTCTGCCTGTAACATGGTTACGCCCATGGATACATCTATATGCTTACACTGACAGATGTACTAGTGTCTGTACATTCTTATATTTGGTGTACATTTAGACTTAGTATTGTGTGGGCATAGAAGTACATTTGTAGATCATTTGTGTATATGCACACATGAGCATGAGTCAATGTGTGTATATATTGACATGTGAGGGTGCATCTCTGTGCATCTGTGTGCCTGTGGGTTTGTCTCTATTTCTACATGTATATGGTAAAGAACCTACCTGCCAGTGCAGGAGACTTAAGAGATGCGGGTTCGATCCCTGGGTTGGGAAGATCCCCTGGAGGAGGACATGGCAACCCACTCCAGTATTCTTGCCTGGAGAATCCCACGGACAGAGGAGCCTGGAGGGCTACAGTCCATGGGGTTGCAAAGAGTTGGGCATGACTGAAGTGACTTAGCAGCAGCAGCAGGAAGATAGAATTCATCAGAAAATTTCCTCCTGTTCATTATCTTTACTTTCTCTGACTGAGACTATAAGAGCCTCTTGATCAACTAAAAACCATCCGCAGAATTGGATTGCGGGGGATTCTGAAATGAATTCTCTCCTAGAATCTCCAGGAAGGAAAACAACAGGAAAACATACATACGTGTATGTCTCTCGCTTTTATAGGCTGAAGATTTTCTGTGCCTGTGTGTTTCTGGGTGGGGATGCCTGCCATCTGAGTGTACATCTGCATGTGAATTTGTGTGTCCGTGTAGGCAAGTGCATTTATAGAGCTCTGTGTATATGTGCCTGTAAGGGGCTTTGGAGCGTGTCAGCATCTATGTGGTTGAAGTCTTGTCTTCAGTGTGTTTATCTCTGCAAGGGACCGCGTGTATAAGATAGCACCCATGCCTGCGTGGACATGTTTAGTCCTCATGTTTACTGTTTGCAAATATTCATCTGTGTGGGCCTCTGCATGTCTGTATATCTGTGCGTACATGACATAGATGTGTGTAGGGGTGGGAGTCCATGCGCCTACATGTGTACATTCTTGCCTATAAGCTTCTATCTGTCTCATGGCTTCTCTATTCACACATGCATGCCTTGGTGTTCATACATCGGTTCCTCCACCTCTGGTTGGATGTGTATATCTGTATGACCATCCTCATATCTATGGGCACGTGTGTGTGTGTGAATCTGCATAAGTCTGTCTGCATGAGAACTAATGTCTTTGGATGACTCTCTGGGTGAATGCATCTGTGTGTCCACATGCAGGTGTTTATGCCACCGTGTGCATTTGAGGACTCTGTGTACGGGAATTTTCCCTATGTGTTCTGCTATGTCTCTGTTCCTCTTGGTTTATGTATGCCTCTGTGGTACCTATGCCCACTTCTGTTTGCATGCATACATGTGACAATACACACACGTGTCTGTGCAACTGTGTGTCTGTGAAGGTGTGCTGGGCTCTGCCAGTGTGGGTGCATACCTTTCTATGTCTGTGTGTACAGATATGCATGCTTATGTTCCCATGTGTGTCTGTGTTTTTTCAAGTATATTTGTGGGTCTCTGTGTCCATTCACGTGGAATGTGTTCATGTGTGTAAATCTGTATAGATGTATCTGTACAAGCTTCGGTGTCAATACCTTTGTGCATCTACATAGGTGTGAGTCCATGTATTTCTCTGTCTCTGTCTACATGCCTATGTCTCTGTGAATCTAACTGAGATTATGTGCATGAGTGTGACTTTGTATGTTCCTCTTGTGCATCTAAGTGAGTCTGTGTGAGTACAGACGTATTTGCCCACGTATATCTCTGTGTGGGTCTCTAGGCCTGTGTGCCTATATGTCCATATCTGCAGGTATACACTTCTGCATATGAATCAATCTCCCTCTTTCTTCCCTGCCTCATTCTCTTCCCTGTATCTATATATAATGCTTATCTCTCTATATATAAAAGTATATGTCTCTATATGTATACAGCACTGTCTCTGCATATATATGCATGTAGAGATTTCTTTATGGATCATCTCTGTTGTGTTTGTGTGTGCATGGATATGTCTCCATGTACAAGTGCATGTATGTGTGCACACCTGCATGCTTGTGGGTTTCTACATGCACACCAACATGCACGAACATTCCCATGTGCATCCCCATGGTCATTTCTATACATATGCATGTGTGCACATTTATATGTTTTCATGGTGAGCATGAGCATGTAGATTGCATGTACAGGCAGGAACATGTATGTGCAAGTATGTTTTAATAACAACTATGCCTCTGTGTGTAGATTCATGTGATCCTGTGAGCATGAAAATGATAGTAAGTACATATTTAAAACACATGTATCTACCTATGAATAAATCTCCATACTTCAGTGTTTGTGTAAGTGTCTCCATGTCTCTGTGTATCAATAAACACACATATACCTGTGTCTGCATATGGACAACTCTGTGCAGTCTATGGGTGTGTGTGTAGACAGGCGAACACCCATGTGTCTGTGTGAGCTTCCATGGGTTTGTCTATGTTTTTGCAAAAACATCTGAAGTGTCTGAGAATGGACATGTACCTCATCAGCCTCCAGAAGCATCTATATGTTGTCATATGTCTGTATGTGTATGCATCTGTGTTTTTGCAACTTTAAGGTTATGAATTAGTAAACACATCCTCTGGATGCCTAGATTGGCATATATATGTCTCTGCATGCTTCTCTGGGCCTGTGTGAGTGTGCAGTGTATATTTCTGACTACATGCTGCTCTGTGTCTACATACAGAACTGTGTGCATTTGTATGGATCTGTGTGGATGCATATTTGTATCTGTGTAGACATGAGATGATCCCTGTTGGGACTCTGGGTTATGCACTCATATTTGTGCAAACACATGTCTTTGGCGGTGGCTGAAAGAATGTATGATCTGTGAGATGATGACACACCTGTAGGTCTATGTCAGTGTGAATATCTGTGGCACTATGCATGTGTGTGTGCGTTCTTGTGTGTAGGCACTTATCTGTGATGAATGTTATGTATGTTGATGTGACTACTTTATTGGAGAAAGATTCTCTACTCATTTCTTCAGCTGTCTTTCTACTGTTCGGCCAGGAGAGGGGGCTCAAGATTTTCTTCCTGTTCTTGAAATAGCCACAACAAATAAACATTAAAAGATGGCCTTCTTCAGAAAATGTGGATTATTAAAGATGGTAACTATGGTGTAATAACACAGGCTTTTATAATCTGAAGGCCAAATATGGTGGCTGCTCAGATCTTCCAGTCCTGATGCCATCAGGGACCTTTCTGTCAGAGACCCTGGCATGCACCTATCTTCCTCCTCCCCCTGGGTATAGGCATGGCCCACCTGCTGCAACCTTCTTCCCCATTCTACTGCTTCTCTTGGACTAGAAATGCAGATTAAGATACCTGGTGTCATAGAGTCCAACAGTCTTGGAGGCAGGAACCAGCATCATCCACAGTTGACAAATGAAGACTGAGGATCAGAAAATTAAAGCGCATCATGAGCATCATATGGCTAATAAGTGGCAGAGGCAGAATTCAAAACCAAGCCTGACATGAAAGCTTTCCACCTTCTGCTGTACCCTGAACCACTTCTACTATCGAGTGTGTCCAGTTCCCAGTGCTGGAGCCAGGACTGGGAACAGGCACAACTGCATTCCCAAGCCTGTGTCCTGAACCTTGATTCTTTCCTGAAACTATCTCATTTCATCCTTGGAACGGCTGAAAAGGAAATATTTCATCCATGTTTACAAATGCTTAGAGCCAAGGAAATGAAGTCACGTGCCAAAATCCTGTGTGAGCATGTAGGTCCTCAGTTCATGTCCTACAGAGTAACAACTTGTTGTTGAGGCTTAAACATGATAGCGTGGATGCCTCATGAAGTCAGTCTGAATGTTCCAGAGGACACACACTTACTACCCTGCTTTTCTTGTAAGACCTTCTGAGTATTACGTAGTAAGTCTGGGTGTTATGACGGTATGTGTGAAGTCTGGGACCAGGTTGGGCGTTGTGGGATGAATATGTATGCTGTGGATCATGTGTCTCTTGATATGGCTCTTCCGTGAGGACCATGGGACAAGTCTGAGTGTCCCAGGGCTAGTTTCTGAGTTTAGGCGGCATGTCTCTTTGTAGTTGGAGTGAGGCTAAATGTTTTGTGTTGAGTCTGTCTGAAGGAAGGTGGGTCTAATTGTTGTGGGGCAAGTATGTGTGAACTATGTGGAGTCTTAGTAAATGGTAGGGCCTATGAGTTTCTCGTGGTGTCAGTCCATGATTCACATGTGCACTGTGATGTTGTTCTCTACATTAAGGGAGGAATAGCTATAGGGTGTGAGGTGAAGCTGTGGATCATGGGTTATCGCTCTGAATTATGGGTCCTGTGAGGCCTGAGGTTTGGAGTGTGTTTTGTGGGAGTGATTCGGAGCGTTGTGATTTTTATGACTATGATTTTTTGGATGTGTGTGTGTGTTTAGTCACTCAGCCATGTCTGACTCTGTGCCACCCTATGGACTGTAGCTCACCAGGCTCCTCTGTCTATGGGATTTCCCAGGCAAGGATACTAGAGTGGTTTGCCATGTCTTCCTGCAGGACATCTTCCCAACCAAGAGATTGAACCTGTGTCTCTTGCATTTCCTGCATTGGCAGGCGGATTCTTTACCACTAAACCACTGGGGAAATCTTTTTTGGATGTACCATCAGGTAAATCTATGGACTGAGGAACATGTCCTCACAATGTAGGGCATGTCTAGCTGTTGTGGTATATACACTGCAGTCTGTGCGTTGTGGGATATATGCTTGAGTCACAGGGTGAGACAACATGTCATGGGTTGATTCTGGAGATTCTATAGTAAGTTGTTATGTCATAGGGATAACCTTTGCACTGTAGGATTTGTCTGTGCCTCATGGGCAATCTACATGGCTTCATAAAGAGGGACAGTCCCCTAAGTGGAGTTGTGTCTTTACATAGTATGCCATTTCTGGAAGACATGGTCCGTGCTGCACACTGTATGATTAGACTGATTCTGGACGGGGTGTTGGGTATATTTTGGTGTTTTAAAGAGAGTGTGTATTATTAGGGGTGAGTCTGGGTGTGCAGGAGCTTGCGTATTTGCATTAAGATTACCCTGTGTGCTGTAGGCATATCTACTTTATGAAGTAATTCTGTGTTGTAGCATATGCCAGTGTATGACTGAACATGTCTTCAGTTTGGGATCTTTATGCTGGGTAAAGATTTGTTCTGTGAGGTACGTTTTGTGTGGTAGGTCAGTCTATGCATTATAGGGCATGTCTCTCAGTGGTATAGGACAAGACTGTGTACTGTGAGGCTTGTCTGTAGTATTGTGGCTCATGTATTGAATTGTTAGATTTTATGCAGGCAGGTAAGTCTGAATATCATGGGGCATGTCAGTGCATTGTGGGGAGAACTTGATCTGGAGTGCGCTTGTAAGTTGTGATTTTCTTCTAGGTGTTTGCAAGTGAATGTGCTTTGGGGAGGAAGTCTGAGCCTGATGTGGCCATTCTGGAACTGTTGGCCATGTCCCTGCATTTGCAAGGTGTTTTCTACATTGTAGGATGCACCTTGTCACTGGAGGTTTTGCTAAGGTGTAGGGGTGACAAAGTGCACTAGAGATTGTGTCTAGGTTGTAGGTCAAGGGTACCTCGTGGGGCAAGGCTGTGTTGGAAAGTACATCTGGTGAGGAGAACAACTCTGTAATAGGGATCATGTCTTCCTCCTGTGGGGAAAGTCTATGTGTCCTAGGGCAATTCTGGGGGTTTGGGACACATGTTTTCTTTGTGGGGTAAGTATTTATGTTATGGAGCGATTGTGTGTGTATGTACTGGGGTGAATCTGTGCATCAGAATGCAGTTTTGTGTTTGTGGGAGAAATCTCTGTGTCACAGGGTACACTTGCTCATCGTAGGTTAGCTGCAGCTAGGGACTATGGAGCTAGTTTGTGTGCTGGAAGACACGTCTGGGTGTTGTGTGGCAAGACTGAATTTGTGGCTGGGTATTTTTTAAATCTATTTTTACCATTGGGTAAAATTGGGTGAGTTGATGTTGTAAAGTGAGGCTGTGCAGTATCGGGAGAGTTTGGCTTTGTGGAAGTTACCTGTGGGTTATAGGGCATGTCTTGGTGTGGTGGGCTAAGCCTGGACATGGTGGGGCAAGTCTGTCCATTATAAGGTCATTGTAGATATTGTGAGACATTTGGTGAGTACTGTGGTGCAAGACTGATTCTGAGGCAAATCTAAGTGTCGTAGTGATGTTGGATGCCTCAGGGAGCAAGTCTCGGCTTTTTTGGAGAATTTTTGCGTTGTGAGAGAAACCTGTGTATGGTGATACTACTGCTGCAATGAGTCATGTCGTGGAGCATGTGTGATGTCATCAGTTGGTCTAGGTCGTTGAGAGCTGAGTTTGGAGTTCTGGGAGAGTTTAGGCACTGTCGGGCTCATATACACATGGCAGAGTAGTTTTTGGAGTTGTGGTTCACGTTCTGTGTGTTTGGGGGCATCTGGTGGTTGCGGTGCATAATGGGCTCATTGTTTGCTTTGTAGATGAGTCTCTGCACTGTGGACTTACGCCGTGTGTAGGGGGAAAGCCTGTGCATTGTAGGATGAATTTGGAAATTGTGTAAAACTGTGTATGTACTATCAGGCAGGTAGGTTTTCTGTCACATGGTTTAGAGCTCCTGGACAAGACTTTGCTGGTGGGGGAGGGAGAGAGTCTCTGCATTTGAGGATGTGACCAGATATGGTGGAGGAGTCCAGTTGTTATGAAGTGCATGTTTTGAGAAGTGTTTGTAAGTTGTTATGCAATTCTGTGTGTTTCTGGGGATCTACATCTTTCGGGACATATGTGTGGGCTGTGGGATGTACACAGGATGTATAGAACAGCTATGGGGGAAGCTGCCTACTTTGTGTAATTTGGGCTGCTGTGATGTGAGTCTGTCCAATGTAGCAAGAGCTCGGTGGTGTGATTGGATTCTGCCCATTGTTTTGGCAGTGTCTTAAGTTGTGACTGTTGCCTGTACATTCTAATGTGTGTACGGGCACTGTGGGACAGATGTGAGTGTGTGTGTCATGCTGGGCTTGATGCAAGGTGGGTTTGTGTATTTGGGGCTAAGTGTGAGTGTTTGGTACAAGTTTGGGAGTCATGTGGTTAAGTGTGTGGTGGCACGAGTTTGTTCTCTGGGGCAGATCTGTGAGTTGTTGATTGCGATTGTGCAGTGTGATACAATTCTGTGCATCGTGGGGTGACGCAAAGAATTGTGAGCCAAGTTGCAGTGCTGCTGTTCTTTTCTATCCATTGAAACACAACTATGGGCTTAATGAGGGTGTTTCTGTGGGGGCATACTTTTATGTTTTAATGTGGTTTGGCAATTATCTTTAGAGTCTGTGTGTTGCACTGTGAGTTTGAGACTCCAAGGGGCAAATTTGCATGTTTGGGGACAAGTCTGAAATTTGTGGAGTTAGTGTAGTGTGGGACAAAAGTGTGTGTCGAGCTCATCTGTACCCTGAATAGTGAGCTGATGTGCTGTAATGTAAGTCTGTGAGTTCTGAGAGGAATCTTTATCTCACATGAGTGAGTATATTGTAGGGTATTTCTGCATGTTATAGTGCATGTGTGTACACTGCTTGAGCAAATCTTCTCATTATGAGCTAAGTGTGTTAAGTGTGAGAGGGTTCTACAGATTGTATTCAATAGAATGGGTGGTATCCTAAGATGCTATTCCATGCCTTGTTGGGAGAGGAGGTTGTGTTGTCATTGACTGCAAGTGTTGGGGAGCACTCATTTTGCTGAGGGATATGTGTGTACAAATGCATGTATGTGTGTTTTGTGTCAACTGTGGGTGTTGTGTGACACATCTGTGTGTCTTGAGTTGACCCTCTGCATTACCTGGGGAATCTGCCCAATTTGGGCTGGTTGTATGCTCCATTGTGTGGGTCTCTGAGTGGTGAGCAGAGTTTCGGCACTGTCTTTGGAGAACATCTAGGAGAGATGCGTGCTGGGGCACATTTCTGCGTTGTAAGAAGAGTCTTGTGGCATGAGCTGTGTCTCCTCATTGTGACTTGACACTGTACCGTGCAGCATATCAGGGCTTTGTGACACAATTCTGTGCTTTCCGAGAAGAGTCTGGGTTTCATATTTGTGTCTTCCTATTGGGTTTCTGCAATTCTGTACACTGTGTGCTGAGCTCAGAGTGGTGGGGTGAGTCCTTGTAATGGGTTGTGGATAAGCATTGCAGGGTGTACCTTTGTGCTGCGCATGACAGGTCTTGGTACTTCGTCGCTGCTCCTGTTTTCACTGTAAGCCAGGTGTCTGCCCAGCAAGGTGTGGGGTGTGTGTATGTGTTGGGCACCACGTCTCGGTTCTAGGCCACATCTGTGTTCTGTTGTACAGCTATGTGCTTTGAAGGCGAGTCTGTGTGCTGTGCATTTCTGTCTATATTAAGGATATGGGGTTTAATGGAACTGTGAAGTGAATCTGGGCATTGTGGGGTTATCCTGGATGTTGCAGCCCATGTCTATGTGCTCTAGGATGTGCCTTTGTGTACGGGGATGAGCGTGTGCTCCGTGGGGTAAGTCTGTGCACTGCAGGGAACTAAGTATGTTATCAAGCATGTTTGCATTGTATACAAAGTGTTCTACCATCTCTCCAGACTGGTGTGTGATGTATGCCTTGCACGGTTTGGTTGGGCAAGCCGGGGAGGCAAGGGAGCACACCTGCACGTTATAGGGCCTCCTCTGTGCTGGGGAAACTCTTTGCAGTGAGCCTGGGTGTTATGGGTCTAGTGTTTTCATTGTGGAGTGACTGCATCTATTGTGGAGCAAACCAGGTTTGTAGAGTGAGGATGCGCATGGTGATCCCAGCCCATGCACGGTATGCCTTTTGTTATGAGGCAGGTCTATGCACTGAGGGGTTTGCCTGTGCTTTGTTGGGGTCATTTTTAGGCCCCACTGTGGACATGTTACTTCCCTGACCAGGAATTGAACTCATGCCCTTGCAGTAGAAGTGCAGAGTCTTAACCACTGGACCACCAGGGATGTCCCTTTGTTGGGCTTTATACTTGGCATGATGGTGCTATGTGATGGATGTGTGTACGAGATGTGGCAGACAGGTGTTTTTGGAGTATGTCTTGCACTGTTATGACTGTGTGCATTATGGAGCGAGTTGTGTGGGTTGGGGTTGTGTCTGTACTTCGGGATGAATATCTATATGTTGTGAGGCATGGCTGTGCACCGTGGGGTGGTCTGTCAGCAGTAAGTTCCTTCCAGATATTCTGATGTGAGTGTGGGTTAGGCGGGCAGACATTTGTATTACAAGTCACAGGTCATATTTGAGGGCTCTGGGCCTTGCATATCTATTGGAGGACTAGGTGGACACAACTAAAGGTGTTTGGGACCCTCGCACTGTGATATAATTCTGTTCCCTTGCGGGGGGGCGGTGCTGTGAGTTGTGTGTACATCCATACCCTGCGGAAGAAACCCAGGATTTCGGGGACTAGACTGTGCACAGTGGGACAAGATGGTGTGTCATGATGCCATTCTCTACTTTGTGGGAGGAGTCTGCGGTGAAATCAAGTCTCTATGCTATAAGGCATGTCGATATGGATCAGCTCTCAGAGAAGTCTATGTGTTACGGATTGTTTCTAGGGATTTTAAAGTGAGTTCTCTGTGTTGTGGGGCCAATGTGTTCTCTGGTATGTGTACTGTAGACCCTGTGTGTGTGTGTGTGTGTGTGTGTGTGTGTGTGTGTGTGTGTGTATGACAAGGTGCATTTAGTTCAATGGGATGAGTGTTTGCCTGGATGAGTTTGTGTATCATGGGTGTGTTTGTGCACTGCCACGTGTGTTGTATGATGCGTCCACGTGTTAGAGACTCTGCACAGTAGGTGCTTCCCAGTGTTGTGGGCTAACTGCAGTCAATAGGGAAATTGTAAGGAAAGGGTGGTGGGAGTGAGCTGTGATGTGATTCTGGGCTGCATGTTGTGTGTTAATTTGAATTATTTTAGATTGAGTTGTACCATTATGGGCCAGTTGCACGTGTAGAAACAACAATAACAACAACCAGATCTGCTAACATCCGTAACACTAATTCTGTGCCAGGCACTCTTCTAAACACGTTATAAGCAATCACGCATTTATTCTTGACAGCCCTAATAAGTAGGTACCATTATTACTCCCAATTTATACCTGAGAAAAACAAGGCACAAAGACGTTAAGACTCCTTTCGAAAGGCACATGATTAGTTAACAATACACGTGGGCTTGGAAGCCAGGCAGCCTGAATCCTAAGAGTAAGCTTTTAACCATAGCCTACACTGCCCCTTTGTTTGGGGATGTGCATATCTCTGGACTTTGTGGGGTTTGTGTCGGTGTGGTGGTATAGTATAGGTTGCAGAGCCCCTACAGAGAGCAGAAATTCATCCAAGTGTGTGAGGCTTCTCCCTGAGTTTCGGGGTGGGTCTTGTGCAGAGAGGGCATTGTTTGTATCAAGTTTGGAAGCAAAGATGCTAATATTTTGCCCTGCGTGGCAAGGCTTTCCACTGTGCACCGACTGTGGCCACTGTGCTGCGCTCTTGCTTTAAAGGACAGGTTTGTGGTGATACAATTTTGTGAGCTGTCAGAGAACCCTGTGTGTTTGCAGGAGTGTCGATTTGGAAAGGTGTGTTTACATGTTGTACATCTAGTCCCTGGACGATGGGTATTGCTGCCCTAGACTGAGTCATGTAGGGGAAGTCTGTAATCGTGACGCAGTTCTGTGAGTGATGAGGGGACCGCGTGTGCTGTGGGAAATGTGTTTAGGTTGCAGGGGTCTGCAGGTTTTCTGAGGTCATTGAGGAGGGGATGTGCGTACGTCTTGAGTCATGTCCGACTCTTTGTGACCCCATGGACTGTAGCCTGCCAGGCTCCTCTGTCCATGGAATTTTCCAGGCCAGAATACTGAAGTGGGTTGCCATTTCCTACTCCAGGGGATCTTCCCAACCCAGGAATCGAACCCCAGTCTCTTGTGTCTCCTGCATTAGTATGCAGATTCTTTACCACTGCATCACCTGGGAAGCTAATTGAGGAGGGGGGTCTGTGCATTTTAGGATGCCTCTGCATAGGGTGTGTGTGTGTGTGTACTGGTGTACAATATCTCTGCACATCTGGGGCCTAGCTGTGCTCATGTTACGGGAAGTGTCTGTGTTGTTGGGGCATGCTGGTGCCTTGGAGGCAGGTGTGCATTTGGGCTGAGGACACTGTGTTGCAGAGTGAGGGTGTGTGTTACACAATGCTGAGCACTTACACAGTAAGCACCCGAGGGGTCTGGGAGGTGTGACACGTATTATGGAGTGTTCTCTGTGCTTGTGAGGCAAGCTGAGTGATGCTGTATGCTGTGGGATGAGTCATAATCAAGGCACAAGACTTATTCACTGAGGAGCATGACCTTAGGAGCATAGTTCTGCGCTCTATCCACACATGATGGGACAAAATCTATGCATGGTAGCGTGTGTTCATGTGACAGAGGGCACATCGCTGAGTTGGAGGGTGCATGTGTGTGTGCAGGTGTTGTGTTGTGGGTCTGGATACTGTGGGGGTGAGTGTGTGTATTAAGCAGCAAGCCCATGCATCACAGAGCACACTTCTGAACTGTGATGAAGCTCTGTGTGTGGCGAGCAGGATCTGGTTTAGGATCCTGCCCATGCTCTGTAGGGTGTGTGGCTGTTGTGGCGAAGCATCTGTGCGCTGTAATGTTCCCAGATGTTCTGGGGTTGACCCTTTTCACATTAGCAATGGTACTATCAATTACATTGTTAATTACATTAACAACTGAAACAGTTCCTGTGTGCCAGGCACTGTATTAAGCATTTAGCGTATCCTAATCCATTCAATACTCACAACAACCCTTTTCAATAGGTACAGCTGCTATCTTTGTTTTACAAATGAGCAAACCAAAGAACAGAGAAATATACTTACCCAATGTGCACAATTAGAAAGGGGTGGAACCTGGATTCGAACCCAAGTAGTCTGGGTCCAGAGGCCTTGCTCTTAGCCATTACACAAGTGGTATGTGTTGAGGGCCAGGGCTGCAGCTCCGTGGGATGGTAAAACACATCTGTAAACTATGATGGAAATCTTGGTGTTGCACAGGTAATAGTGTGTGTTGTGTGTCTACATATTGGGGAAGGCTCATGTGCTTTATAGGTTTTCTATCTTAGGGTAAATGTATGTCGTGTTGCAACTCTATGCATTGAGGGAGAAATCTGTGTTCACAGGCATTTCTGTGAATTCTAAGTTTTGTGGGTGTCATTATGTCGTGGGGCAAATCTATGACTTGAAAGGCTTGACTGAGTATTTGGGGTGAAGCTCAGGGTTCTGTGGTGTTTGTGTGTGTCGTGGAGCAAGTCTGTGTGTTGATGGGAGAATCTGTGCATCTAGATGAAGTTCTGGGCCTCCTTGGGCCGACTTTGGTGTGAAAGCCATCTGTGTGTTACGGGTGAATCCGGAGGTTGTAGAACAAAGGGTGGTGAGTGTCTGGGGGTGTGTGTGTGCACTGCGTAATCACCCTAAGGAGTGTGGTTTGGGTGAAATGAATCTACATGACAAGTGTGTTCTGTGACATGACCCTGCATAACTGAGTGCAGGGTTGTGTTTATCATAGGTTGTATCGAGGTTGTGAGGTGACTGTGCGCTGAGGGGCAAATCTGAACACTTCCGGGAAAAGTTAGGTGCTGCCACGGCATGAGCGTGTCTGTTGTGGAAGAAGCCTGTGCACTGTAGGGCCAGTATGCACACTGGGAAGTAGTGCTGTGAGTTGTGAGGTGTGTATATGTATCACAAAGTGTGTCTGAAGAATTTGACAGGGGCTTTCTTGATCCAAGGCCACAGTGTGCCTTATGGAGAAGTGGATATTTGGAGGAGCTCTGGACGCTGTAGGGCACACGAGGGTGCCATAGGGTGTGTTTGCATTGTGTGGTGACTGTGTTTGTTGCGGAGTCAACTGATGCCTTGGAGGGAAAGATGGTGCATTGTGCCAGTCGAGGGGATACATGTTAAGATGGTCTTTGCATCTCTCTGCGATGAGGTGAGCTTGTCCGAGTGCAGTGGGGCGAGCCTGTGCTCTGGATTTAATCTTGGTGCTGTGGGCTGAGTCTTGGAGCTGTGGGGAGGGTCTAGGTGGTGCGGGCACGTCCCTGGGCTGTGGACATGACTGTGTCCTACTGAGAGGCTGTGTGTCCTGGGGATAGTCAGCTGAGTCGGAGAGGCTCTGTGTGCCCGGGGTGGGGGGGCTGGGTCCTGGGGAGACAGCTGGTTTGTGGGATGAGCCTAGATACTGGAGACAGTACACTGTGTGCTGTGGGGAGCATCTTTCAGCCAAAAGGAGAATCTGTATGTGTCCAGGACACTCCGTGTGCTGTCGGCGGGGGCGGGGTGGGGGGGGACTGTGTTTTGCAGGGTAAGTCTGTGTGATTTGAGTCGTGTCTGTGTCCTGCGGGCCACGTCCATGTCCATAGGAGCGGGCTTGGGTGCTGTGCTGCTTGTCTGCGTGCTGTGGAGTTCGCCTGTCTGTCAGCGGAGAGTGTGTGTGTCTCTCTGTGCAGATTTTCAAGCTGTGTAGTGAACTGTGTTCTGGGATGGGGGAGGCTGTGTGCCTGGTGCGGGGTGGGGGGTGAGGTCCTGTGCCCGGAGGATGGTCTGTGTGCTCTGGGGGTCGTCTGTGTGCCCCGGGAAAAATCCTCGCCCTTGGCGGGAGTCCGTGTGCTGGGTCAGGGAGATGCAAACAGAGTCTACGCCCTGCGGAGGACCTCAGCTATGGGTTTACTGGGTGGGGCATTGGAGAAATCTGGGTGCTGTGGGGACAGCCTTTGTTTCATGGGGCGCCTATGTGCCACGGACTGAGTCCCTGCTGTGTGGTAAGAGTGTTGTGTCATGGGGCATATTAGTGAGTGGGAGGGCATGTCTGTGACCTCTGGAGTGAGTCTTTGGGCCTTGAGAAGATGCTTGCTTTTGGAAGAATCTGTGTTCTGTGGGCTGTGTCTGTGGGCTCCACGTGTGCCAGGGAAAGGCTCTGTGTGACGTGGGGACAGTCGGAGGGGCTGTGATGGTCTGTGTGTCTGGGGTAGTGTCTCTGTGTCACGGGGGGTGCAGACTTGCATCTTTTAGTGAGACTTTTGGCTGCGGGGAGGATATGTGTGCCTCTGGGGGAGGCTGGGTGATGTGGCGAAATGTGTGCTGTGGGGCACGTTTGTGGCCCTGGTGTTTATCCGTGTGCAAAGTGAAGAGTCTTTGTGCTGTAGGGGTAACTGCTGTGCTTGTGCTGTTTGGCCACGGGACATTAGAGGGTGAGTTTGTACATTGCAGCGCAAGTCCGTTTCAGGGCAGGTCTCCTTTAATATCTACAAAGAATAACAGCCAACACTTATACACTGATTATCATTACTGGACACTGTTCTAAAGGTGCTATTATTACTCCCATTTTCCATCTGAGGAAATTGAGGCACAGAGAGATTAAGTAAAATTGTACCTGTGATCATGCAACCGGTGGAGGTTTGAAACAAGGCAGTCTGTTACCTGTGCCCACACCATTATGAATCCCCTGGGGGTCCTGAGGCGTCAATATCCCCTTGTGGGTGAGTGACCTCAAAGATTGGGAAGACTTCCTGATCTCTGGTGGACATACTGAGAGCAGGTAATATAGGAGGAAGAAAAAGGGAGTGGCTCAAAGCCTTCCGAGGATTAAAAAAAATTCAATGCTCTGTATACCATAATGGTGGCATTTCAGCCCAGAAGAACTGACATCAGGACAGCAAAATAACACCTTCAGCGTCTGGAGCCCCCATGACCCCCCCCTCGCCTCCACAGCCGCATTCTGCCACTGCAGAAGAGCGAATGCGCATGCCCTGGTGAGCTGCCATTGCCATGGAAACCAACCTCCAGTCACAAACAAATCATAGCCTAATACAGCAAATCTAGAAATGATTGGGGCTGTGGCTGTGAGCCAAAGGAGCCCCTTGCAGTAAGGGCAGGCAGGGCATCCTCCCACCCACGCCCCCCTTTTTTCTTCCTGAATCAGTAAAGGCTAGAAGTCAATAGAGAAAAGAAGACTGTGCTGGGAATCGGGGTGGCAAGGGTCAACAGTGGGTGGCAGGTGAGTTTAGTAGTCAAATATTTCTTTGAGTAACATTTAACCCATCTCCCACTAAAAGACTCCGTGGCTTATGCTTGAGCCTTCCACCTGCAGTAAAAAGAGGCGAATCACAGGGGTATGTCCCTCTCTACAAGAGATGGTGGCAGTGCTGGCATGGATTGGGACTCATCCTGCCCCCTTTAAATCCCTAGATCAGACTACTGCCAGCAACAGGCTGGCAAACGTTATTTATTTTTGCTCCTTATACATTTCTTACATTTTCCACTTCTACAATTCTAGAAAATTCCAGGAACTGAGTCCAGTCAGCTTTAATTCTCCGAGTACCTGAGGAGTAGAAAAAGAGGTTGAAGGAGGAACTTTAGGAATAACACTAACCCCAGGAGTATTATTTGACTACACAATTAGGCTGTCAGCTGTGTCTAGGAGGAATAGCACATCTGGAACAGTGGTTTAATATATCAGGATTCCTCGATTTTCACTTGTAAAACACATCTAAGAAAGATAATTTTTTGACTATTTAAAACGTTTAAATCCTGTTTGAAAATCACTGCCCTAAACTCTGTGTGCCCTGAATTTGTGAAAGGTATCAGCAAGAACGTGATGCTATAGTATAGAAAGCTGCAAGAAGTCAGAAGCTGCAAGAAGGTACCAGTGCTATTGTTGGATGTAACCTTCTTGGGTAGAGAGAAAATGGCCGACCTGTGGGAAGCTACACCCTATCTAGTGGGAGGACAGTTCGTGCCATTTCAAATCAGTGGAAGAAGGTTGGATTATTCAATAAATGATGCTGAAACAATTGGTGACCTATTTGGAAAAAACACAAAATTAGATCTACTTCATATCATATGCCAAAATGAATTCTAGATGAATTAGAGTTAATTGCAAATAATGAAACAAGTAAATGACTAGGAAAAATGCAGGTGAATATACTCATAAAAGAAAAAAAATCACAAAATCAAAACTTGATAGTTATGGATGTCTAAAAATGTAAAGCTGCAACACGTTTAAGAAAACTCATCATAAATGATAAAACATAAATAGGCAAATAAACTGGAAAATAATGCTTTTACCACATATGATAAATAAATGAGGTGATATTGTATGGGGTTGGCGGGGTAGGGGAGAAACCTTAAACTGGTTCATACCATTTGATCCAGGAATTCCACAGCTATGAATTTATCCTAGGAGAAATAAAAAACAAAAAAGCTCACAGAGGTTTATATGGAAAGATATTCCTTAAATTATAACAGCAAAAACTGCACATAGAAACTTTCAATAATTGGACATTTAGTGGAATACTTATATGACTGAAAATTAAGCATCCACAAAACATCGCATTCTTGTGGGATATTTTAAAATATGGGGAATTTCTCTCAATATATTGCTTAGTGATTAAAGCAGATTGAAAAGGATATGTGCGTAGGATCTTAATTTTATATATAAATACACATTTTATGCATAGATTTGCATGGAGTCAGAGAAGAGGGACTGACTATATTAACAGCAATTAGCTCTTGGTTATAGGATTCTGGGTAATTTGTATAGGCATCTTTAGGTTTTCCCCAATTTTCTACAACAAATATGTGAATTTTTATAATAAAGGGGAAAGACGTCAAGATATTTTAATAAGATATTGATTTTAATAAGGGCTCTAAAAGGGATGAGAGTATGGAAAAGAAAGTCTGGGATTAGAAACAATAAAAAGCAAAGAGTAAATCTGCCCATGTTTATCAACGGTGGAGCATACCAGATAAACTCAAGATGTGTTATGTAAAGATTATGGTAGTATTTGTATGTTAGTAGGTACAGAATTTCTTATACAAGATGGACTCCTGGAAAATTTTCTTCACTACAGCAGAGGATGGTCACATGTCCCTGGACGTGTCAGTCATCCTCTTTGCCGCAGTGCTCTGTTCGAAGCCCCCCTCCCTCCTATAGCTTCATCACACTCTCCCTACCACCTCCTGCAAAACATGCCACCAGCAGACATTTTCAGCTTGGAAAAAATGGCCCTTCTTACCAACTTTCTTTAAAGCTATTTCATTCTTATCTCTTCCTCCCTGACTGCTATTTTGGCATCTAACTCAAAAAATCTACTTATCTCTCTTTTTCCTCCTTTGCTTCCTATTGACAAAGCAATCTGAATTTCAGAGAAATAAAAAACCCAACACTTCAGCTTTGTTTTTTCTTTTTTTTCTTGCAGAAACATATGTATGACAGCAATCTCCAGGTAAAAGGAGACACGAAAGCGTAACTATTTTCAGGCATGATTCAGAAACAAATATAAAAGCTTTGTTGATAGGAATCTATTTTTTTTCCACATCCCTTTCCCAAGAAAGAAGCACTGATTATATTGTCTTTACTGTAAAAATCGATGTCCACAAATACAAATGAATTATTTTCCAAATAAAGGCACAGTCACAATAGTCATTATTTCTCTTTCATGATGTTTCATCCTAAAACCAAATTTAAATCTTTCTCATTCAACACACGTTCATCTCTCATATGAAGCAATTAATCTGAACATTACAGGGTGCCCTCCTTCTCATTTTCTCTCCTGTACAGACATCCAGTCACATGATTTTCTTAATTAAAAAAAAAAATGAGGCATGGTATTCTTTTCCCCATTGCAAAATAACATTTTTCTCATGCTCTCTCCATACCCTGAAAGGAAATCAGATCTTAGAACATTGTGAATCGTCATCCATTTCATCACATCTATAGCAAACATCCTAAAGCTGCCATAGCATGCTGAACACAATTTCTCATTTCAATAACATCTTCATCGAGTCCTCTTTGAGGTACTATCTTAACCAGAATCACAAGAGGGAAGTTTCTATATTTCCTTCTAAAAATTCATTCACTTTCCAGAAACGAGCTTTAAACTAGAAAAGTGACCGTGGAATGTTTAGAATTGAATTAAGCCATTTTCTCAATGCCATGGATTAAAATCAGAAATTCCTCCACAGTTCTGTATTATCTTGATCCATCAAAACATGCCGCTTGCTATAAAAAAAAAAGAAAGAAAGAAAGAAAGAAAACGTTTCGGATATCTATGTTACAAAAGATTTCTCCACTACTTACCAGCTGCCTTTGCTCTGCCTCTCCACCAGCTCGGAGGTTGTCGCACTGAAGGGGTGGGGGGAAGAGCCGCAGCAGCCGCTGGAAAATGAGCTGTGCTGTGAAGAATGGATTAGCTGGAGGGAAAGGGAAAAAATGCCTTGGCATTATCCTCAAAATTCCTCTCCAAACATAAAATCATATTAAACATTACATGCTAAAAAGCGCATGCTCAACGAAGGGCGGAATTTAATAGTGAAACCGCTAATCTAAAACATACCTAAATTGTCTTGCTTTCCAGTGAAACCCCTACAAAGCCATGGTTTTTGGCTCTCCCATCTCCTAGCAACAGTCTCATTAATATTTTTCTCTGCAGTGGCCCTACTAGGCATCAGAGAACATTCACAAGGTCTAGTCTCTGGTGGTGAGCATTACCATTTTATTGTTCAAGATGCATGCGTTTTCCCCAGTAAGGGCAAGGCAGGCATTCAATAACAAGTTCTCCCTGGGAAGATTTCAGATTCCGAAGACATTCGAGTCAAATGACAGAGATTGTTCTTGTCTGGTCCCTGTCCCTTGGTGCAGTGTTGTCTCTAGACCCCTGACCTAAAGATGGGAGTTAGCAAAAGATACCTAAACCTTTCTGCCATGACCAAATTACAAATAGCAGCACAGCTATAAATCCAGGCTCTAAATCAGTGTTGTTATCCACTGTGCTCAGAGATAAAATTAATGCACAGAATTTGTTCCTATCCTTAGCCCTGTAACCATGCTCCCCACCCACCTTCTTGGTTACTGGAGGTATATGTTACAAAAATAGTGGATGAAATATAAACAGATCAAAAACAACCCACTTATCTATTATTAACATGGAAAATATTAACTACATGTTAAGAAAAAGAAGGCAGGTTACTATACAGTATATATAATATCATTTTTATATCTTATATGGCTAGGAATAAGTATACATAAATAAAACTGAAAGGATATTTCCCAAAATGTTAGGAATAGCTATGTCTGGGTTTTCTATGGATGGTAAATTTGAGGGGTGTTTAGATCATTTTTCTTTTTGATTATCTATTTAATAACTTTTCTGTAATTAACATATATTCCTTGGGTTATTAAAAGAGAACCATGCACAACAATGTGAACATACTTAATGCCACTGAACTGTTCACTTAAGATAGTTAAAATGATGCATTTTATATTGTGCATATTTTACTATAGTAAAAGAAGAGAGAGAAAACCATTCATTCATCCCTCGAACATGTATTGAGTCTCACCACATTCAAAATACTGAGGGTAGAAAGATACAGTCTCCCTAGACTGAACCAGGAAGAAATGGAAAATATGAACAGCACTGAAATTGAAATCGTGATTAAGGACCTCCTAAAAAACAAAAGTCCAGGACCTGACAGCCTCACAGGCAAATTTTATCAAACATTTAGAAAAGAGTTAACACCTGTCCTCCTGAAACTGTTCCAAAAAGTTGCAGATGAAGGAAAATTTCCAAACTCATTTTATGAGGCCACCATCACTATGATACCAAAACCAGACAAAGATACCATTAAAAAAAAAAAAGGAAATCACAGGCCAATATCAATGATGGACATAGATGCAAAAGTCCTAAACAAAATATTAGCAATCCATATCCAGCAACACATTAAAAGGATCATATACCCTGATCGAGTAGGATTTATCATAGGGATGCAAGGATTTTTCAACATTTGCAAATCAATCAATCAAATCAAATCAACCACATCAACAAACTGAAGAATAAAAACCACATGATCATCTCAATAGATGCAGAAAAAGCTTTTAACAAAATTCATTACCCATTTATGATTAAAAATACTCTCCAGAAAGTGGGCATAGAGGGTATATACCTCAATATAATAAAGGCCATATAGACAGACCTACATTTTTCACAGGACTAGAACAAAAAGTCTCAAAATTTGTATGGAGACACAAAAGACCCTGAATAGCCATAGCAACCTTGAAAAAGCAAAACAGAGCTGGAGGACTCAGAATCCCCGACTTCAGATTACACTGTAAGACAAAGCTAGTATCATACTCAGTGGTGAAAAGCTGAAAGCCCTCCCTCTAAGATCAGAAACAAGACAAAGATGTTCACTCACACAATTTTCATTCAACATAGTTCTGGAAGTCCTAGCTACAGCAATCAGAGAAGAAAAAGAAGTAAAGGGAATCCAAACTGGAAAAGAAGAAATTAAGCTATCACTGTTTGCAGATGACATGATACTATACATAGAAGATTCTAAAGATGCTACCAGGAAACTGCTAGAACTCATCAATGAACTTGGTAAAGTTGCAGGTTACAAAATTAATACACTGAAATCTGTTGCATTTCTATACACTAACAATGAAAGATCAGAAAGAGAAATTTAAGAAGCAATTCCTCTTATGAGAGCATCAAAATACTGGGGGTAGAGAATTATAAAAATGAATAAACACAGTCCATTACCTTTCTAAAAAGCTCGTAATTTAACAAAGAGCTACCCCTCAAATTTCTATATGGGTTTTTATTATACATGACATGTACAATTGCCGCACTTAGAAGTATTTTATTATTTTTTTTAATGTCATCCATTTGTGATAACATTTATAATTAAGGTTGTTACATTATCTGCCTAAAAATATTGGACACTCTGTGGTGGAGGAAGAAATACATAAGAAATATTTTAAAATATATGTGCATTTTCATATTTGTATAGAATTGCTACATTTTAAAAAGGAGGGGCAGGGAAACTGTTTTGGATTAAAGAAGATTAAGAAATATGACCTAAAAAAAGAGCTCTGATAACCAAATGCAATGCGTGATCTTGCATTGGATCCTCAGTAGAAAATGCTATAAGAGACATCTGAGGGGAAATTAGGACATTTGAATATTGGCTAGATATTAGGTAATATTAGATCAATATAATAGTTGGTATGATAATGTGGGATGATGGATTTGTTCTCATGAGACACATGTTCAAGTATTCAGAGATGAAGTTCCATGATGTCTACAAATTACTCTAAAATGCTTTAGAAAAAAATCAAAGAACGGATAGACAGAGCAAATTAGCAATACGCTGGTGGCTCAGTGGTAAAGAATACGCTTCCCAATGCAGGAGATGTGGGTTCAATGCCTGGGTCAGGAAGATCCCCTGGAGAAGGAAATGGCAACCCACTCCAATATTCTTGCCTTGGAAATCCCATGGACAGAGGAGTCTGGCAGGCTGCAGTTCATGGGGTCACAAAGAGTCAGACACGACCTAGCGACTAAACAACAAGAAGTAATTGGTAAATCTAGATTAAGTACATGCAGGTGTTTACTGTGTTGTTCTTTGCTCTAAATTTCAGAAAATAAAGAATAAAATGCTTTAACAAAAATAGTTATTGCACAATAATTATATTTAAAGTTATTACAGGCAGATTCTTAACCGTCTGAGCCACCAGGGAAGCTGAAATGTATATACGTTTTAGAACTAATGAGAAATAAGTTTGTAGTCCCTCCATATTAACCAGTTGAATGATGAATATTTGCCATGCGCCATCTAGTGGTAAAATCCTGATTTACCAAGACGGAAGTATTTCTAAAGAACACAATATGATTGACTCATTAAGTATTGTTGTTTAGTCGCTCAGTCGTGTTCCACTCTTTGAGACCCCATAGACTGCAGCACGCCAGGCTTCCCTGTCCTTCACCACCTCCGAGAGCTTGCTCAAACTCATGTCCATTGAGTCGGTGATGCCATCCAACCATCTCGTCCTCTGTCGTCCCCTTCTCCAGTCTTCAATCTTTCCCAGCATCAGGGTCTTTTCTAATGAGTCAGCTCTTCACATCAGGTGGCCAAAGTATTGGAGCTTCAGCTTTAGCATCAGTCCTTCCAATGAATATTCAAGATTGATTTTCTTTAGGATGGACTGGTTTGATCTCCTTGCAGTCCAAGGGACTCCCTTCTCCAACACCGCAATTCAAAAGCATCAATTCTTTGGCGCTCAGCCTTGTTTATGGTCCACCTCTCACATCCATACATTACTACTGGAAAAACCATAGCTTTAATTCGATGGACCTTTATTGCCAACATAATGTCTCAGCTTTTTAATATGCTATCTAGGTTGGTCATAGCATTTCTTTCAAGGAACAAGCGTCTTTTAATTTTATGGCTGCAATCACCATCTGCAGTGATTTTGGAGCCCCAAAAAATAAAGTCTGTCACTGTTTCCATTGTTTCCCCATCTATTTGCCATGAAGTGATGGGACCAGATGCCATGATCATAGTTTTCTGAATGTTGAGTTTTAAGCCAGCTTTTTCACTCTCTTCTTTCACCAAGAGGTTCTTTAGTTCCTGTTTGCTTTCTCCCATAAGGGTGGTGTTATCTGCATATCTGAGGTTATTGATATTTCTTCTGGCAATCTTGATTTCAGCTTGTCATATTAGTACAAGTTTATTGTAATAATAAAACTTATTTTTATTATAGTGTATTAATATAGCTAAAAGGCTCCCTTCATTTTCAGGATTTGTTCATGGTTGTAGGGGAATGCCTCTGCTCAGGTGTGCTACCTGAAAGGTCACGCTGACCGCAGGCGGGAAAGCGTCAGCCAGAAAATGCTGACAGAGAAGCCCCCTCCGGAAAGTCCCGGATAAGTCCCAGGGACAGACATCCACCAATCAGTGGCCCGTTGCCAGGCAGACTGATGGACACAAAGGCGCCAAGACTCCGGCCAATCAAAAACTGGCACAAGACCACAAAGTCCAACCAGCACCCTAGAGCCCGACCCTAACCGTTATATGGAAAGGTCCCGCCACGTCCGCAGCGGCCAGGGTATATAGGTGTCGCCCCCCCCTTCCCGCGGGGCTGCAGACTCCCGCTTTCCCCTGCTCACGCCTGGGAGCTCTGCCCGGGAGCGATTGCCCAATAAAAGCCTCCTGATACTCCGGCACTCTGTCTTGCCGCGGCGTTCTTACATTTGGCGCCCAACGTGGGGCTCGAGGTGAGGGCCCTGGCTCACACCGTGCGGGCCCCCTCGAGCTCCACCGCCGC